ACATGAAGAGAGACAGGACCCAGGAATGGTGATGTTGATCCCAGGGTGTCTGCTGAGTGGCCACACATCCTGGGATGAGTAGCCTTGGAGGATGCAGAGGCCCACATACAGCAGCTTCCCTCCAACTATACTGCCAAGGAGCAGTCACCTCATAGCTGGGCGGAGAGGAAGTATTAGTGGGAAGGGTGGACCACACAAAGGAGAAGGTGGTGCTGTCAGTGAAAGAAGTAAAAAGGCATCAAAAAGGGCGTGGGTCAAGCAGAGTTCTTTGTGAAGCAGAGGGATGGATAGAGAGGGCTCCTGGGATCCTACCATGGGTGGCATGTGTAGATCCTCATCAGTAGTAACTGTTACTATTATTATCAGTCATTATTGTGTCCATTGTTTATTTCCCCTCACCTGCTCCTGGCAGATTTTTCTGGCAGAAGCTGAGTCAATGTTAAAGCTATGGATGAGAAAGGAGGCTGCTCTGAGATGAAGGAAGGGTTGTGTGTGTTCTATGGTCAGCTACCATAGAAGCAATTCAGTTTGTCAGGCATGGCCACAACCCACAGGAAGTTGTGAACTAGATGAATGTTGCAGAGGTTCTTGTCCCACCAAGTTCTGCAGCCACCTTGTCCAAAATGAACACAGATGCTATATTCATTATAAACTGTTGGCCGACTAGAGCTTCTTACTAGCTATTTCTGTCTTAATTATTAACCCATTTCCACATGGCCTTGGCTTACTGGAGAATGTCTGGACCTTCTACTCCTTTGTGGACTACATGGTGACTGTTCTGGCAGGCTACCTCTGCCTATCTTTCCCAGAATTCTCCTTGTTTCCTTGTCCAGCCTATCTTCCTGTCTTATTGGCCAACAGTATTTTATTCATCAACCAATAAGAGAAACATATATACAAAAGGACATTCCCCATCAGATGAAGGGTCATGTCTACACCCTAACCACCCTGAATATGCCTGATCTCATATAAGAAGCATTTAGCTTAATTCTCCATCTCATTCAAGACAGAAAGACTCTAGAGACTCATGAGTCGTGGTACACACTGAGGCAATAAGTTAAACCCCATATGGTAGCTCACACCTAGGATCCCAATGGGAAATTGAGGCAGGAGAATTGTAATTTCAAGGCCAGCGGGGCTACATTAGAGAAACTCTATTTTAATAATAATAGTAATAACATTTGTCAAACTGGGTATTGTGTTGCATCCCTCTAATCCAAGTATTCAGGAAGCTAAGGCTAAATAGAGGAGTATGAGTTCAAGATAGCCTGCACAACACAGGAAAATAGATATTAAAGTAAAATAAACAAATTATTGTTCTAAAGTGAAGGCTCTGAGCATGAATTTGCCTGCAGCTCAGAAATTGGTAAGTGGCCATGCATGTATACTTACATCTATCTGTATGTTCATCTCTTAGTCCATCTGCATATTCACCTATCCAATCATTGACCCATCTGTCACATCTATCTGTATGTTCAGCTCTTAGTCCATCTGCATATTCACCTATCCAATCATTGACCCATCTGTCATCCATCCATCCATCCATTCACACACCTCTTCCATTCATTACCAGATGCATTTTACTGAGCACCTGCTAGGTTCTCTAGGTTCTCCTTGATTTTTTGCAGATTCCACCATCTTTTGAGTATAAGACAGCATAAAATACAATGTGAACACAGGCATGACAGGAGATTGATGACCTTTGAACACACAGCAGGTGGGGGAGGTCAAAGGCACAAGAAGGAGTCCCAGGGGTGATCTGAGGAAAACTAGAATAGAAGAAAGGTAGGAGTTGGGGGATTCTTTGGACAAGAGGAACAGCCCTGGGTGTCAGTGAACTAAGGACTGAGAAACTAACTGGAGGTGATGGGCTGTAGGAAGGGCTGAGGCCAGGGAAGTAAAGAGGGAGGTGACTGCATGAGGGTCGTGGGGATGTGAGGAGTAGCCTTCCTCGGATGATGTTGGGGAAAGATTCCTGGGTGTTATAATTGAAGACTTACTGGACAAGGCCTTGGGGTGACACTTCTGCCCCAAACCATTGAAGACAATGAAGAGCTTCTGGCCCAGCTACTTGCTCCTAATTTTGACTCAAACCTTAGGAACAGGCTTTCTCTGAGCCTAGGAAGTGTCTGAGACAGGAACAGGGACATTTCCTACCTTTCAGGGTAAAACACCCATAATTTCACTGGTCCAGCTCTTTCTGGTACAAATAGGGAGGAGGGCTCCCAATGCCTCTAGCAGCTACAGTTTAGCTGATTTTGCTCCAAGGATTCCCTTGAAACAGGAGCTCAGAGGTGGAGGCAGGAGAGGGAGCCAGAGCACAAGTCATGAGTTTGGCTCCCTTTAGGTGGAGGACTCTGAACATGGCATGCCCAAAGATGCTAAGGCATCCTGTTTGGAAGGTCCCCAGGAAATTCAGTTCACTGCTGTGATATTGGGGCAGGTATGGTGTGGCTAATCCCTGCTGAGGAAAGCCCCTCACAATTGTCCCTTGATGTGGCTTCCCCAACAGTGTTGAACTGTAGCCTGGCCCTGTATTCACCTCTTCTTCCCTAAGGAGTGTCACACTGCAGTTCTGACCTAGTACTTGGGCTGCTCCCCCACCCCACCCCTACCAGGTCCATCCTAGTCTCCCCAGCTTATCTCTGCCTGTGCTCCCCTCTGTATCTCTGCCTATTCTATGCCCTGGGTATAAATGTCCCCTCCAGTCCCTGGGAATCTACCTACAAAGACCTGAGAACTGCCCCTCCTCCAAGTGCCTATCTTCCCTGCAGCCCCCCTACTTCCTGGGAAACCTCCCCAAGAGTGGGGAATGGGCTGCAGGGCCCTGGGGGCACACCCAGGTGACTGCTCTGCTGCTCTGCACCTGCACCCCTCTTGTCAGGAGGTGACAGTTCAGAGCCTTTGGTTCCTGTTGCCATGGCTGCTTCCCTAGAAGGACAGGGAATTTGGGTCTTTCTGGAGAAATGATCTGAGTGTACAGTAGAACAGAGGCCTTGAAACCCACATGGGCGGGTGGGGAGTTTCCGAAGTGGTTCTCAGGCTGTGTCCCCAGTAACAGAATTGTTGATTGCAACAGAATCAGCCCTTCTTGTACCCTAGCACAGACCAGCATGTGCTGGCCTCTGCAACAAGAGGCTGGGAAGGGTGCAGGGGGCCTGGAAGGGGTGTTCAGTGTGGCTTGGAGAGATCCAAAAGGGGCAGATGGGCAGACAGATCTGTCCCACCCCCCTCCTCAAGCAGGGCTCCTGTCTCCAGGTTACAGCCTCCTGCCCCCTGGCTCTCAGACCAGCCCAGCCCAGCCTTAACTGAGACACCATTAGGTATGGATACCCTCTGTGGCCATAAGGGCATGCATCCTCCCTGCCACTCTCTGAAACACAGGAAGCCTGGCCTGGGGAGCAAGGTGCCCAACCAGACAAGCTAAAGGCAAAACCCCTACTCAGCTATTGCAGCAGCGGTGGGACTCAAGGCAGGCAGAGGACAGCTGGGTGAGTCCTGCCAAAGGGAGGCTCCATCTTTGCCAGCTCTGCCATCTTAAGTAGGCTCCTAGAAACGGTCTATACTTCCCTCTGCAGAGAATGAAATTGAGGTCCAGAGAGTGTTTATGAAATGCCCCAGGTCACACAATGGAGCAGTGGAGGAGGACCCTGTCCACAGGGAAGTTTGGCCAAAGTAGGGGAAAACCCAGGGCTCAGTCCTGAAGCAACACAATCTCCTGCAGTAGGGAAAGAACTCCTAGACTTTCTCTTCTTGACCTCAAGTGCGTTACTGCACACTGTTCTGAGGAGTCTGGTCTCTACAGACAGTGGTTGCTGTTCCTGCCATCACTTCTAATAGAAATGTAATGGCAGTTCAGTGATTAATCCGAGGCCAGGCCTGACAGCATGAGACGGAGTGAGGAGGCATGGGGTGTTATTGCAAACAGCCTCTGGTCACTTGCAGGCCCCAAACTCACGTCAGAATCAAAGCTGAGGCACCTGCAGACATCCACCACCCTGTCCCGCCAGAAGAGGATGGGAGTTTCGGCCCGGGAAGGCCTTAGTCTGGGAGACTGACCAGATTCAGTGATGCTGTGGCCTTGGGGCTGGAGAGAAAGAAAATGAAGGAGACATGGGAAAGGAAAGGGGCCTTTGCCCTGGTTCATTTCTAACTAGCTGAGAGCCAAGAGTTCCAACATAAATTGTGGGTGGAGCTGGGTCGGGGCTCAGTTCGTAGGGTGCTTGCTACAGTGCCATACATGCAAAACACCTGTACACATAAAAATAAGTAAAACTTGGGACTGGAGAGATGGCTCAGAGGTTAAGAGCACTGACTGCTCTTCCAGAGGTCCTGGGTTCAGTTCCTAGCAACCACATGGCAACTCACAACTGCCTGTAACTCAAGTTCCTGACACCCTTATAGAATCATACACATGCAGGCAAAACAGCAACATGCATAAAAAAATAAATATTTTAAAAATGAGTAAAATTTAAAGATTAGAAGCAAATACCCAAACAAGCCATGGTGGCTCACATCTTATCTGTGGGATTATGGGATACCCTAGGTTACACAGCATTGTGGGATACTCTAGTTTACACATTGAAGCAGTGCATACTCTTTTATTTTGTGATAGTTTCTTGCTAACTCCCATGGACTCTGGTAGACCAGGGTGACCTCAAAATTGAAACCTCCCTGCCTCAACCTCTCAAGTAGCCAGGGTACCAGGCCTAAGCCACTAGGCCTGATACTTTTTCTCAATGAACCCTGAGTTTGCTTCATAGTGACTTGTCCTGAAATTCTTTTCTGGACACTAATGTGATAGCTTCAGGCTATGCTGAAAGTTCTACATGGCTTTCTAAAAAGTGTGTCTGGGGCCTGAGAATACTGATCGACATTCCAGAGCAGCCTCTGGCGTGAGGCTCCTATAGAGGTGAATATCACCATCTCCGAGTCTCTTCACCCCACTCAGCAGAGGCAAAGCGCCAGCATGAGGGAAGGTCACCAGCATTAGGGCAAGGGGTGGAATGAGCTGAAGCTGAGGCCCTGGGCTCTGCTAATAGAGGAACCAAGAAATGTTCCCTTTGAAAAGAGAGAAGTATGTCACTGTTGTGGCCCCAGACGTACAGACTCCCACCTCCGTCCTGAGTGGAGTGCCCATTCTCTGGAAAGCCGCAAACATTCCCAAGCTGGACTTCTACTGAATTATCTCAAATTCTTTGAATTTCTCTAGTCTGGAAGGATTGAAGGAGGGGACAGGAGGCGGGGAATGACCTCCAAAGAGTTTAAATAGGTCACCTCAATGCTAGGCACCAAGACAAGCTGAGAGACCCATGAAGATCTTCACCTGTGTTTCTGACACCATGATGTCACTTCGCATACTGTTCCTGGCTGTCCTGCTTCTGGGGACTTCTCTGCAGCACGCCAGCACTGGTGAGTGCTGGGCACAGATAGGAGAGGGCAGGGAAGGAGCCCCTCTGCCACACAGACCACAGCAGAAACACAAGCTGCATGATTGATACCCCATCTGTCCTTACAAAGGTCACAGGGACTGGCAGCATGAGCACTGTGGGGAGAATAATGGTGCTGATGGTGGTGGGGCTGACGTTGATGGTGTCAGGCATCTGACCTGGGCATCCTCCTGGTGAAGAGCCACAGGCAGCACATCTTATCATGAGATGTTAGGACATTGTGGCCTTGATGGTAGGCTTATGATGTAGAATGAATGATTCTCAGAATTGTGATCATTTGTTTCACTAATGGGCGTCATCAGGGAACAGCGTAAAGACAGAGAATTGGTTCCAGGAATGTTTGAAAAGCGACTTTTATGTTTAGTTTAGAAAGGGAAGTTGAAATAAGGTTCCTAGACACAGACAGCTGTGCAATCGCACGCAGATGAGCATACAAACATGCAAACACAAAGAGCCAAAGCACGCGCAGACACTCCCCCCACACACACACACACACATTGTAACACACACACAAACACACCAGGAAAAAACAGAATATAGACAAAGAGGCACATGCAGTTATCATCCATAGGTCACACAGGCACACATGGGGATACTCCATGGCACATGAGCAGACCTTAGGACACCTGGTTTCTATTGTTCTTCTAGCTCGAGCCACCAATGTAGGCCGAGAGTGCTGCCTGGAGTACTTCAAGGGGGCCATACCCATCAGGAGGCTGGTGACGTGGTACAGGACCTCAGTTGAGTGTCCCAGGGATGCTATCGTGTGAGTCCCCCCTCTGTCCCCCCTCTTATACCTCTGACCCAGAGTGGTAAGTGGGTGGGCCTTGGGGTGTCCAGAAAGGTCACTGGGAAAGAGGGAAGGAGAACAGAGCCTTTTCCCCGGGCCAGCGGCTCTGGGCACACAGGGGAATAGAGGATAGCACACGCCTAAGCCTCTTTGTGTCACTTCTACTTGTCAGGCTTAGGCTCTGGGGAGCCAGGCATGAAGTCCTACAGCCCTGGCCCTAGGGAAGCTGGAATGGAGTGAGGACCCCAGTAGTAAAAAATTGCTAATGGCATATGTGACTTCATCCAGTTCTTGTTCTGGGACCTCCGAGTTCAGGTCAATGCAGGTGTGGCTGGTTGCAAAGCTCTGGAAGGCCTTGCTGTTTTCACACTCACTGGCTTCTCCTGTGTAGGTTTGTGACTATCCAGGGCAGGTCCATCTGTTCAGACCCCAAAGACAGGCATGTGAAGAAGGCCATCAGACACCTCCAAAGGCTACAGCCTTAGCCGATTGATGATCGTCTCCCGGAAGCATTCAGAGACAGCAGCATTGGTGTCCACGACCTCAACCCAAAGCTGCCTGCATCCAGCAGAGGCCTTAGGAGCCCAAGAGAAGCCATGGAGTGGGGGTCCTGTCCCCTTTTATAGACTCAAGCAACGGGCAAAAAACTCTGATTAAACTCCTCCTCCTCCTTTAGTCTGCATCAGTGTGTTCTGTCCCCACATTACAGAACCCCTTCCACTCTGGCTGGTCACACTGGAAGGGTCCTCATAGGACAGCTGGTCCTGCTCTGCCCAGGTCAGAAGGGTTAACTGGGGCTGAGGGAGAGACACCGTCCCATACAAGTGAGAGGTGAAACCATGGAGGCCTGGGGCAGGGGAAGGGCAGACCTGCACAAGTGCTTCTCCCCCTCTGTATTCGCTGGAAAGTGTCCGAAGGGGTCCCAAGGAGGGCCTGTCTTCTCTGCACCCAAGGCCTCCCAATCTCCCCAAGACTAACCCTACACTGAAACTACCCCTCCTAAGCTGGACTCTGTTGCAAACACGTCCGCACCCTTCTGCGTGTGTTTGTCTTCCTGCAGCCCCTGTCTTTTCATTTCTGAGTCCCCTCACTGCAGCCTGTCTAGCTCTGGGAAATTGTCACCTCTCCCCTTCCCTGAGCCACTGAAGGATTGGCACAGGAGTCTATGAGACCCCTCTGTCCAAGCCTAGTTCAGAGCTAGAGAGTTAGGGTCTTAGTATTCCAGGGCAACTTTGCCTACCCACATGCCTTTCTTTCTGGGTCAGGTTGTAGCACCAGCAAGGGTCATTCATCTCTTCCCCCCACTCTGCCAGCCTGTAAGTAGCCTGTCTGTCTGGGCAGCAATAGTGAGTCACCTGGGGGAAGGTTTTTAGCCTGTTGCTGACACCCTGTGGCCAGTTTTGGTCTTGCAGAATGCCAAGTGCCCTAGAAGGGGATTAAGACCAACACGTGAGCAATCAGGAAGCTGGCGGCCTTGAAATGACTTCTCTGTGAACCCAATGTTCCTGTCGCTGCAGTGGGCTTCTCTTCCCTAAGGACCAGGAGTGTCCCTCGGTCCTGAGACAGCCTCAGCTTAGTCTTTGTGAAAGTACAGTCTCTGGATCCAGGGGATCGAGAGAGTTTGTGGGGGGAGGCGGGGTGGAGAGTGAAGACCTGCGTCCTGTATTCCAGAGCCAGGTGCCCTCTGAGTGTGCTCGGTCGGTCCTGCTTGCGCAGCTTCTCTTTGCTGTTGAAGTCTTCCAGAGACTCGCCTTGGGTAAACTCAGATGGGCAGAGCAGACTGCAGAGACCTGTGAGAGGCGGCAGGTTTCTCATGGGCTCTGGAGGAGTAAAAGGATTGTCTCAAGGCTACTGGGCAGGAATGTGTGGGGTCACAACTGACAACAAAAGGCAGGGTACTGAACTCAGTGGTCAGAAGCAAGAGTGTAAGGTGTGTGGCAAAGTGCCACCACATTCCTGGAGCATTCTGGGGAACTGTGGCTTGGAGACTCTAGTGACTAAAGAGAGAGAAATGGGAAGGGTGGGTGGACAGTGAGGATGGGTGCAGGGTGTGTTTTGCTTTTTCGGTCTTGAAAGTGCCTCCCCTGTCCGTTTCTGAAATATGTTTCCTTTTGGTTCTCAGTGCCAATACCGCCACCCCATGGGACCTTCCAAGGTCTCCTTAATTTTGTAGGATACCACCAGACCAACATACACATCCTAATCTTGGCCAAACATCACCTGTCATTTAGCGAGGCTTAGATTCCCCCAATAAGTTTATAGTCTCTGGTAACTTGGGTCAGCAAACTCAGTAAATGAAAGATATATATATATATATATATATATATATATATATATATATTGGACATCCAAAAACATATTTTGTCAACCGTGGCTGAATGGATTCCTAAAGGGAGACCTATGGAGAAAGAAATTTCCAGAGGATCACTTACACTGGGGCTTGAAGCACCACTAAAGATGTAGAAATTAAAGTTGGGCAGGTCTTCAGTTTCCCAGTAGGGGGCGTGCCAGCACAGTAAGGAAGAGTGGAGATTGAGGAGGTAAGCACATACCCTGGCTACAGAAGGCCTTAGGCAGGGGTGTCTATGGCTGGTAGGATGACCTCCTGGGGGAGCAGAGGTCAGGATGCTACCAAATACACTTCCAGAGTTAGCAGGAATTGGGGAGGGGGGATCACAGGGACTTGGAAGGCCACCAAGAACACCGGGCAGTGCTTCTATTTCTTTCATCTATAACTGTCACCCATTTATCACAAAGCCACAAATATCAAGCGGTGTTTGTGTTTGGATATCCAACTTTTGTGAGTTTTTAAAAATCATTATAAACTAAGCATGTTGGCTCGAGACTGTAATCCCAGCACCTGGGAGGGAGGTAGAGGCAAGAGGATCAGGAGTTCAAGACCAGTTTCTGCAACATAGTAAGTTTGAGGGTCGCCTGGAGACTATGAGAGCCTATCTCCAAAAACAAAACAAAACAAAACAAACAAAAGAAGAAGAAGGAGGAGGAGGAGAAGGAGAAGGAGAAGGAGAAGGAGAAGAAGAAGAAGAAGAAAAAGAAGAAGAAGAAGAAGAAGAAGAAGAAGAAGAAGAAGAAGAAGAAGAAGAAGAAGAAGAAGAAAAGGCATTATAAAGTTATAAAGCCAGGGGCAGTGTAGCCTAGCAGACTGAAGCAGGAAAAGTGCTCACACCCAAGAGCAGCCTGGGAAATATATTGAGAACTCCTTTGTGTAGATGGAACATTACTGTCCTGCCTGGTCCTGCAGCCATTCAGTCCCAAATAAACACACAGAGGCTTATATTATTTATAAACTGATTGGCCGATAGCTCAGGCTTGTTACTGACAAACTCTTATAACTTAAACCAACCCATAATTCTTATCTATGTTTAGCTATGTGGCTTGGTACCTTTTCTCAGTAAGGCATTCTCATCTTGCTTCTTCTGGATCTGGATGGTGAATCCTCTTTCTTATCTTCTTCCCAGAATTCTCCTAGTCTGGTAGCCCTGCCTATACTTCCTGCCTGGCTACTGGTCAATCAGCATTTTGTTAAACCAATACTAATGGCAAATCTTTACAATGAACAAGAGCATTTCCCCACATCACATTTGTCTTAGTTATTTTTCTTTGTTGCTCTGATAAAACACAATGACTAATGCAATTTATAAGAGCTCAAATCTTTTTGTTTTGTTTTTTGTTTTTTTTTTGTTGTTGTTGTTGGTTTTTTGTTTTTTTTTTTTTTTTTTTTTTTGAGACAGGGTTTCTCTGTATAGTCCTGGCTGTTTTGGAACTAGCTCTGTAGAGCAGGTTGCCCTCTAACTCAGAGTTCTGCCTGCCTCTATCTCCCAAGAGGTAGTAATAAAGGCACGTGCCATCACCACCAGGCTCCGAGATCTTTCCAAAGACTTCCATCAGGGTTCTTAACTTTTCTATCCAAAAAAAAAAAAAAAAAAAAAATCCTTTCAGAACGAGTCAGTATGAAGCAGATTTGGTGCTTATTAAGAAGTAGCTTGGTGATTAAGAGCACTAGCTTTTCTTCCAAAGGATCCCAGTTTGATTCCCAGCACCCACATAGCAGTGCACAACTGTCTGTAACTCCAGTCCCAAGGGATCAGATGACTTCTTCTGGCCTCCAAAGGTACCAGGCATGCACATGGTATACAGACATATAGGCAGACAAAACACCCATACAGATAAAATGCATTTTCAAAGTGTATTTTAACATAGATTTAAGTACGGGAATTAGGGGAAAACAAAGGCACTTAGGGAATGGGCAGGGCACATTCGAGATGTGGTGTGATGTCTCCAGAGGTAGCAAGGGCCATGCAGGTACAGCATTAGACTGCCGAAGTCAAACCCTCGAGGGGATTCTAGGGTTCTCCCTCTCCTCCTTTTCCATCCTTCTCTCACTCCTTTTAGACTGGGTGTTACTAGGTAGCCCTGGCTGTCCTAGAACCCAGAGATCTACTTGCCTGTGCCTTTGGAATACTGGGATTAAAGGCATGTGCCACCATGTTTAGCTTGGAAAATTTCAAAATGAGCTCATAGGTGGTTTCTAGGGTGCACTGGAGTGTAGTAGACAAAGCCATAGATCCCAAGGATTAAAGAAATCCTACTATCCCAGGTCACAAGGGAGTTAAGACATGTTTTGACTAAAAAAAAAAAAATCACAATCATGTTTGTGAGATTCTCAAAGAAGATATTGCTTTCTCAGTTGTAACCTGTAAGGACCTTTGAGTTTGAAGGTCACATACACTCAGGCCTTCAGCATGACTCACGGCTGTTTCACACCCTTATTTGAAGTGACTATTCAAAGGAAGAGCGACTCTATGTAGGCAATTCTCGTGGCAAGTTTTATGTTTTGTTAGCCCTGCTGAAATTCTGGACTCTCGGTTGGGCAAAGTCTTCAACCAGACTCCTGTTGAGGGTCTCCTTTTCCTCGCTACATCCCCTCAGCAGGCCCCCCTCTCTCCTGTCCCCAGTCTCTGCCACGACCCAGCTGTGGCTCTCACACGTTTGCCTCGCTTCCCCCACACTTCTCCATCAACGATGAACTTGGCCCCGATGACCTGTTGAGGATGGACCTAGTTTTAAGTCCCTGCCTTTCTGCCTCTCACACTTCCCTTGCGGAGACCCTGCTGAGGCCTTGTGGTCCTGTTGTCATAATGCGGGCATTCCCTGCCTGTTGGTTGCTTTGTCAACTTGACACAAGCTAGATTTATTTGAGAAGAGGAAGCTCAGTTGAGGAAATGCCCCTGTCGGATTAGCCTGCAGGCAGCGCTATGGGGATTTTGATTAGTGATTGATGTGGGAGGGCCCAGCCGGTTGAGGGCAGTACCACCCTTAGGCAGGTGGTCCTATGATGGGAGATGTCATTCTGTAAATATGTTTCTCTTATTGGTTAATGAATAAAACACTGCTGGCCAATAGGAAAGCAAAATAGGTGGGACTAGGAGACTAGGAGAGGAGAGGAAGTAGTAGGGAGAAATTCAAGATGTAGGACAGAGAGATTAGAATGCCGGGCTCGCTCCAGTAAGAAGAGACCAAGTGGAAATACTTAGGTTAATAGAAATGGGTTAATATTTAAGACAGAGCTAGCTGATAAGAAATTAGTAACTGGCCTACAGCTTTACATCTAATACAGCATCTCTGTGTGTTATTTGGGGCTGGTGCGGCTG